TTGTTGCCATTATTGTATCTTTTCCAGTTCTAATTTACGGGTTTATCATAACTATTTACATATTTTTTTACATTATTTTACATATTTTTAGTTTTTTTTTAAACTGTTCTTCGTTATTGTTAGTAGTTACTGTTTTTTGTTGTGCAGTGACTCAGTTTATCATTTCAATTAAAATGTTTGAAATTTATAACATTTGTTTAAATTAATTACCTTATAATTTGATATTTCATTATGGTTGTTCTATTTTTGGTAAAATTTGATCGTTCACTAAAAATTTAATAAAAGTGCGACATTGTCGCATATGTCGTTTTCATTGGCTATTTATGTAGTTTGAAAATCACTTATTGCATTTTAAAAAATATATATACAGGGTGTAATATTTAATACGAATCCCTAAATTAATTTTTTCAAAGCCAGTCCTGGAATTTTTTAGTTTAGCTAATACCAGTCGAATACTTGATAGTAGTGTACTGTATCATGCAAAAATTAAAAAAATCAAATGAGCCGTATAAACACTACAGTAAAATGAAATAAATCGTCAATTACACAAATCACCCTGTTAATTAATAAAGAAGAGGGGTTGACATTTTTTAGTGGCCACATGATATGCTCCCTGAAGGACTCTACATATGGTAGAAGTATGTAAAGTTCCTCATGACTCACCCTGTATATATATATATATATATATATATATATATATATATATATATATATGGGAAAAGGGAGGTCTCCAACTAACAGTTCATAATTACATAGATATATATATATATATATATATTTATATATATATATATATATATATATATATATATATATATATATATATATATATATATATTGATATAATTATATATATATTGATATAATTATATTTATTATTAATATACGTATGTTACACACACATGCCCACCCTTGTGTATATAGACGAGCAAGTATTATAATATGTATAATAATAAAATCCTAGTGCAAAAAAAGTATTGATTACAGCGCGAAATTCTGCGTTTAATATTGATTCGCCTCCTATGAAACGGTAAAATAGGTGGTAAATAAATTCAAAACAGTCATTTTTTATGTAAAATTTTCCGTAGAATTCGAATTCGTTGTCAGAAAACCTCTAAAAGTTATTTGGAAGCTGAAAGCCGAAGAAAAAACGCTAAAATAGGCAAGAAAATCGCGTTTTTTGGACTATAATAGGGCGCAGCGGCTTCAAACATATAAAAATGACGTCGTATGGCAATTCTGACACCGGGATCGTGTTCAGCGGAAAATTTTACATTGGAAAACACATAGTGGATATCTGTTTAAGCATATTTAGCTCGCTGTACTAAAAAAATTGGATTAATTGAATTGCTGGAATTATCCTAAAAGAAATTCATCATAAGTAGTTAGTTCCTGATCATACTGTAGCATTTTCAATTCATTGATTCTTAAAAATATATTGAAATCCCCTCGTATATGTAATATATTGAAATCGCCTTGTATCTTTCGTTCAAGTTAAAATAAACCATTTTAGAGTTGTTTATTATTTTAACTTTTTCGGCAATTTCTTTTAATATTTTATTCGAAGTCACGTTATAATTTTTATACGCCGTAGACATGGAATCTTCTGCGTTTTAATTCCTGTCAAGTGTTTGTTTATTTTCAAGTTATGGGAACAAATTTTTAATTTCGTCACTATCGTTGGACCTTGGAGCCGCGGTGAGAAGCGGTCAACGTTATGTCCGAATCTGACTTCAAATTTGAAATGTTCCTCGTTGTTCGTGTTTTCTATGAAGACGTTTGTTCGTCTTTTTTTATGAAGAATATGTAGCAGTGAAAGGTGGTTTTGTGGCAGTAAATGCTTCAATTAATGTTTTGAGTGAGGATTGGAAGAATCGTCGTTTCTATCCTCGTTTTGTTTTTTCCCTGTTTGTTATCCAAGGCTTTTGGCAGTTTGGAGATGGAGTTGTTCGTTACGCAGAGAGAGTGAAGCCTTCAGTTCCAGTTATGGTTTCGGAGATTCCAGTGGCGTCTAGTTCCACAAATTCTAGTGCATTTTGTTAATGAAAACTCCAGGTAACTTTTTGATAAAATTTTAAAGTAAAGACAGACAATTTTTTTTTAAATAAATAATGGCTTTCGTTAAAATTTAGAAATTGTAACATTTAAAAATTGTAATGCGGTAACATTTGTAAGTTTTATATAGTATCTCCAACTCCTGGAGTTTGTAAGCGGATGACACACGTAAGTTTTTTGTATTCTTGTATTTCTCCATGTTGTAACTGTTTGTGGTGACACAAAAATAAATGTTAAATTTTGTTTTCTTAACATTTTATTTATTTTTTTTTTGAGCTAACTCTTTTTTGAGTTTTATTTGAAAAAGATATGTTTTTGATGTTTTATAATTATTTCCCTAGTTACAACTAGTGGTTGTAATAGTTATAATTAGGCACCTCAAGTGGCGCCCTATATTAAATTCCTTGAGGTGTTTCCTGTTTACTTTTATTTTGTTTATCCCAAGAGGTAAAGTACACCTTTATTTTTTTGTAGTTGCCCCAATCCAACCCTTTTATCTTTTACTTATCCACTACCCCAGCTCTCCTACCAAACCCTAAGTGACGTTCGAACAAGTAGCGATTATTTTGCTTGTCTTATCTCCACCCCTTAGTATCAGTCCCCAATTTTCTACCCCATAATCTTACCCCGTGTGGTAGGCAAAATACTATCGTTATAATACTCATTTACAATGTGATACAGACCATGCTACCATAGAGACTTGTGAAAAAAGAAACGTCACAATTTCAGTTCCACAGGACTGCGTATCAGTAATTAACATGACGAGCCCTCGTTTTGATGTAAAATTTATTAAACAAACTGACTTTTTCAGATTTTCCAAACTTCTAACAACGCATCTTATAAAAAGAAATGTTGATAAAGATAAAAATTCTTTTATTTGGACCAGCGTACTTTGGCTACATTACAAAAAGGATAGTTATATGGGCTTCAAATACACATTAGATCCCAAGGAACCGTTTCGTTCAATATCCATGCTAAGGAGAGGCAGGTCAACTTCCATGTCTAATATTCAGATACTTCCAGCTTATAGTGATCCTCTACCCATAGACTATTTGAAATATAAAGATATTCTCGACCTACTACCCTTTATAGATCCAATCTATCATGGATTTTACCATTCGCTTAAACACACTCAAACCAGTACCACACAATATACAAGCGACAGTGATGAAAATTTCGACGCTTAAGTTTTAATTAAGTACAAGTAAAGCCATATACTTCCACAGCACTATTTCCAATACAAAGAAATTGACCAATAATTATAGTTTAAGTTCTTTCCTCTTTGACCGTTATCTCCTTTAAAATACTTTTTAAATCTCTATATTTTTGATACGAATATGATATGTGCCAATATATCAAAAACAGAAATGTTAAAACATATTTTGTTTATTACATCTGTTATAGCACTTAATAAAGTATTTAATGAAATATATTTGGTTTTTTATTTTGTTGCCTTCGATTTAAGAAACCTTCTGGAATGTTAAAATTGCCCTACTGAAAAACATACATTTTGGACATATGTCTCCCAAATACCACAGATTTCTTATCTCGGGTTCTTATTTGAGTTTAGAAATACTTTTTCCTTTTATAGTGTTCGATGAGAAGAGGATTAGAAAGAAATAAATCTGTGGTATTTGGGAGACATATGTTAACTCCAAAATGTATGATTTTCAGTAGGGCAATTTTAACATTCCAGAAGGTTAATTTGGCGTCTTTGATAAAAATGAATCGTACATTCATAACCAAATTCATTAAAACTTTTTAATCAGATAATTTGCTACTAGATTCCATAATAACAATGTATATAAACTTCATAATGTATATAAACTGCGAGGCATAAAAGTTAGGGATATAGCTTAATTAAATAAAACATAATACAATAATTATATAACTGTATAAATCAATGAAGTCACTTAGCTACATTAACAAATAACACTAGCTTTTTGTTTTTTTTTTATTCAAAGAAATAAATAATTAAATTAAATTTATAAGTTGTTTCTAGTTTATTACCCCATGAAACGAAGCCGCAAATTTAATTGAAAAATCGAAAAATTTATTAGCGCATTTTTTAACTGGAATATCTGGGGGAAGTCAATAGAAAAGGCGTATTATCTCGTGATTGTCGAAACTTTTACTGCGTTATGACATTTAAACAAAAAAATACCAATTTTTTCATTAATTTCAATATCGTGAAAAAACTACGCATTGTAGATAAAAACGTTCAACAGACGACTTTTTTGAAAATACTTGCTCTTTAAAACGAGATTTTCTAAATTAAAAAAAAAATTTAAAAACAAAAAAGTTATTGCAAATTAAACCCGAAAGTAAACATGTTTTTCAATTATTTATAATTATTAAAATAAACAAAAATATTTAAAATTCATAATGCGAGTTTTTATGTAGTTATTCTATTTGTAAGATGGGCACAATCGGCCAAATAGTTTTTAACAGTTATACTTTATTTATCCCATTCGAGAGAACAAAGGTCATTTTCCAATGGCTGCACAAGTACTTCAATAATTAGGTTTTTTTGTCTTTTATTTTTATTTTTTATACCCCGTCTCAATTTTTTATGTTTTTTTTTTAAACTATAATAATTTTTAATTGTTTATTACAAATAATAGATGCACAATGACGTACCATTACTCTTATACTTAAGAAAATCTTAAAATGCAAATAAGGAGACACTACTGATGTCATTTTAGGAACATTAAGCAACTGAATCGTATCGAACATGTTTATATAGTTCGCGACATTCAGTAGCATCAGAAAAGTTAGATAGCTACTCCAGTGTCTGTGACGACTGAATTCTAAAAATTTATAGAGGTTATGAAATTGTTTTTACAATTTTAATTTTTTAAAAAGTTTTTCCACATAATATTTTAAATATGCCAAATACACTGGATGGATGTTAGATGCCTGTAACTCAACCGACAAAAACTCACCGGGTCACAGTGCTGTGCATGCAAAGGTACTTTCTGATCTTCTTCTTTACTGTCAACTTCCAGTAAATCTGGACTAGCGTCTCTCCTAGCGGGCGATTTACCAGGACTGCAACCGTCTTTTTTTACATCTTTTTCGGACTTGGGAGAACTACTGGGACTATCATCACAGCCGTCTTTATCATCTGTAATTAATTATCTATATTATCGACGAACGTATGAGACTTGCGTTTGAGAAAAAAAGTAACATGCACAATTAGTAGAATAAATAAATTTTATTAAAACTTAAAATAATAATGGTTAATATTAAACCTTTTCAGTCGTCATTTGTATTTCGAAGAGTACGGACGTGTTTTACGTTAGTTTATAGTTTAAATTAGCTTATAGTTCAAAATAGTTTAAAAACAAGACATTTAATGAATGAAGTGATTCATGTAAGATATCCTGGAGAGGGCGAATTCTACGGGGCTTCCTAAAAAAAATCATATGGAGATAGCACCATAGATTTTAAGTAATGATAATATAAATAAATATTACAATACCATTCCAAACATGAGTACGAATCAGGTTAATATAGAATAGTTTTTCGGAAATTTCTCGATAGCAAATAAACACTCGTCCGATTTAAACACCATTAATGCTCGAATTAACTATAAATATTTACAAGATACATAATAAAAAATTAGACGGAACTATTCAATTAAATAAAGAGAATATTTCGCAGATATAATACATGGAATACATTGAGTAAAAGTAGCTTTTGCTAATTAAAGAGGGTTACTTTTCTAGTAGATCAAAATACATCAAAAAGTTTTACTAAACATATAAATATAAATTGATTTATAATTTATTGTCATGGGATTTTGCGAGATATGAATTAAGATATTTCAGCGGAGGAGCTACAAGATAAAATTAACGCTTATGATTATTATTGTAAATTCACAGTAGTTGAAGTCAAAAGAATAAAAAAAAACTGTTGAAAGTAACACTGATGTTTATGTTCCAACTAAGAGTGTTATTGTGACTTCTAGGGCACAAAATTTAGCTAACGTATTAATAGGGGCATAGTAGCCTCGTATTTCCGTGAGACTGTGTAAAAATATATGTATATGTAATAAAATCATTCAATAAAAAAGTACTCTACCAGGAGTCCGTAAAATTATCAATGACTCAGACGTATAATAATACAAAGTTTTAAGATTCCACTCGATATTAACATTGAGACGTACCTGGTATAAGGTTTTAAAATATGGGCAGTCAAACAATTAAGTTTTCATCGAACTTATGATAAGTAAAAATCCACTAGGAAACTAAGTTCCTGTAGCTGGCTGTATACCATATATCACAAAAAATTTATTTAAAATCCTTTATAAAAGGTATATAATAAAATGCCCAAACGGGCTATCACAAAAATATTACAAAACGTTTTCGGATTGTTAAATCCATCATCAGTGCAAACGAGGTATACATGCTATGAGCCACCAAAATATATGGATCAAAACCCTTTAAATGATATAAATTTACAGTTGCTCAGTTCGAGTTGCTCAGTTTAGCAACTGTAAATTTACGTACTAGAGTCCGACGTGCAAAAGTTAGCCAAGCCAAAGTTGGGAGTGCCGCCAATTAGATTGGAGGGTTATACGAAATATGGTGGAGGAGATCTTTAAAGACACCGAAGTCCAGGTGTTAGTCTGTTGCAATCCGCATAGTTCCGGGTGAGGGGAGAAAACCATCCCTTGTCATTTAATACAACTGGAAGTTGTAAAAGAGGGTCCAGTTGCCGGTACCAGCATACCATTCCAGTTCCAGTCCCGACAAGGTTCCAGGAGGAACCATCTTTTAAGAGGGGGGCAATGTTACGATAAATAAAATATAAATAATGAATATATTATGACGTATAAAAACTGTAAATATATTTACTCATTCACGAATGTTCTAGGTCAGAATTCTACAAAAGGGTCGGATAACCAGTTTAGCCGTCGACGACGATTCTCTGAATTTACCAGAATGCGATTGACTTTTCGAGACCCGCTGCATGAGTCACCTACTGGATGTAACGTCATCAGTGCATCCCCAGACTTTTCGAGATAGCGGCATTTTATATATACCTAAATACCATGAATTTTATTGAGGGGTTCAGTCAAAAAGAAGACCGCGGATATCGGGTTAAAATTGTATCGAACGCAAATAAATTATTTGTAATTATTAAGTGTAAAATAAATTAGTATAAAATAAAGACTTTTGATAAATTATCCTGAGTTTTAATAAATTAGAATAAAGACAATAAATTAGAATAAAAACAATAAATTAGGACTAATAAAATCATTATAATACAGTTTCAAGATTGCATGATCGCACGTTCACTCTTCTTCCTCTAAATTCTCCCACAATAATATAAAAAGAAGTTTATAATTGCAATTGAGATTTATTTGTGTGTTTAAGCAACAATCAGGGTTTAGTTTTATTTCTTTGGATATCTCAAGGTCTTCTAAAAGGTTCATAAATCTAAAACTTTTATTTGGGATGTTATGTAAAAGTTTACTGTTTTTGATTCTTTCAGGGTTATTATTTTTCTACCCACAAAGTCATGTTACAATCTCCACAAGACAGTTTGTAAATACCGCTTTTGTTTTGTTCATCTATGTTGTCCTTAGTTTTGCTAAAAATAGACTTAATGTTGTGTTTGGTGTAAAAAGAGATGTTTAAGTTCCTGATTTTATTACAAAGTACTCTTGATATTTTTTCCGAAATTGGTCCTAAATAAGATAAGGATCTATAAATGCATATAGTGGAAGGATCTTACTTAGGACCAATTTCGGAAAAAATATTGTTGGAATATCTCCAACATAAAATTAGTTTGTTTCCTTTTATTTTACAAAACTGTTAAAAAATAGCTTTAGGTTACGTCACGCCTCCCTTTAGATTTCAAACCTTTGTATGTTAAAGAATGACATGACATTCTCGCGCTACTTTCCAATAAATACACACTCACTCGATAACGCTATAGTTAAAAACTATCTCTCAATATTTTTCTTATGGGTTATAGTTCAAGATTAATAATTATAGTGGTATAACTTGTTAGACAGATATTCCAACTTATTACCAGCGCAATAGAAGAAACATTATTGTAAAGTAATACGACATCCCGAGCTTGGAAGACGTTTTGCTACCACGTCCCTCATTGGTCATTCCAGCCCGATAAGAAAATAGTTGGAAATCAATTAAAAATCACCAATGATAACAAGGTCTCAAAATATTTGTTAAAAGATTGTCGTGTAGAAGTAAAAACCTCCAGTTATAGAGAAAGTATATGGATTCAAAGACGTTCACGAAATAATATTCTCGATTATAGTAGTATTTCTAAAGGAGTAACCTGATTACTGGATGTATAGGTACAATTTATTGACAAAACTTCAAAGTTTAACAGGTATTTATTACGCCGAATATAATAAAGACGCTTTGTGTTTTATTCCTAGTTAATATTTGTTTATTTTTTTATTTATTGATGTATATTTGTGCTCTTTGATTTGGTTATTTTAAAAAATTTCAAGAATAGACCTGTCTGTGTTACGTCATACATTCTTAATGGTTCTCAGTGTAGAGGTGGGAACTAAGGATTTTAAAAAAAATTGTATTTTGTGACATTGTAAATCTAATTTAAAAATTATGGAAAATGAAAAGAAATCTCGCCAATACATCAAGGCAAATATAATGCAAATAGTAAATTGGATAGAAGATAATTTAGAAAATCAAAATTATGAATATTTATTAAAAATTAAAGAAAATAGCTCTTATGAGCAGCTAACTCATAATTTTGAGCAATATTGTCTGACGCAAGATCATATTGAAGACTTAAGACACAGAAAACTTGCTGTGGGGGACCAAGATGACCATTGTTGACCAAAATTAGGCGCAAATTAACAAATATTTCACAGCCTTCAGCTCATAATAATATAGTAGTAACAGACATTCAAATATTTCTCATTCATCTAATAAACTACCACAAATATCAATACCTATTTTTCAAGGTGAATTGCAAAAATGGTTGCTTTTCTACCAATTATACACCTATTTAATTCTTCTTCTTAAGGTGCCGTGCATTTCTGCGTAGGCGTCCACCGTACATCGTCTTGTCAGGTGAGATGTTAAATATTCTGGATTAAATAATTCTGTTTTTAGCAGCATTGCGAAGCATTTCATAGCTGTACTAACGTACAAAAATTTATTTATCTCAAATCATATTTAAAAGAAGAACCTTAACTTTAATAGATTTACTTAATGTTACAATTAGTATCAATTGACATTCTTGAAAAGAGATATAATAACTTAGCTATAATTAACTCTCAGATTAATTTAATTATTGATATACCTCCACGTGTAAAAAATAACTCAATAAATTTAAGAGAAATTTAAATGAAATAAAAAATAATGTTGAATCTTTAAAGAACTTGAATTGTCCAGTTGATAACTGGGACTTGCTATTAATTAATATTATATATATCCGGTTTTTTAGGCGTTACGCCCGTCCGGTAGGGATCTATGGAGGAGTATCACCGAGCCGCAAGCCCGTATCTCTTGCCGTACTGCTCCACCATAGGCCAATCAGATCCCAGCATATCCTCGTTTAAGCCGCAGATTCATCTAGAATTTTAAACTGCTGCGTTAGACTTTTTGTTTTCTGTACACCGAGCTGGGGCTCGATCCCACATCCACTGAACCATTCGACAGTGAAGCGAATGAGAGGCAGCCGCACAGCCCGCTGAGCTATCTGACCGACTATTAATTAATATTCTCGTAAGAAAATTAGACTTTGGTACCAAAAAGGAATACCAGGCCAATAGAGATATATCCCAATTACCTACTTTAACTGAATTTTACAAAATTTTGAAAGATGTAATACTTTAAAAGATCTAATTCCACTGATACTAAACGACATCTACACATGGATAAATCACAATTTAAAACTTCACTGCATACACATTCTCAAATACAAAAGCCTACACAAGATTTTAAATGATTATATTATAACAATTCTGGTCACAAAATGTATTCTCGTCAAAAATTCTCTACTTTGACACACTGAGAAGTATAATTTTATTCGTTCTCACTCACTCTGCTCCAATTGTTTAGGTAGCAAGCCTTCACTACAAGGTTGTAAATTCCAGGGATGCTTTATCTGCAAAAA